CCACGCAACCCCAACCGGGGCCCGGGACACACTGCAACCAAGGTACGTGCCCCCAGCGGGAACCGAACCCGGGACTCTCTGGTCCGCAGGCCGACGCTCTAACTGCTGAGCCAAACCAGCCAGGGCATATTTGGCAGTATTGATTGAGTGCAAAGCACTTGTTTAATTAGGCATTATTATACATAAAAATATTGACTGAACCACAGTATCTAATATAAAATATAGACAGATTTTTATGGACATAAATAGAATCAACATAGAATTATTAATAATAAGTAATCATTAAATATAAATTAATGTGTCATAGTTAATTTGAATAAAATAGCAGCATTTATGCAGATTTTGATGTGAACTGTTGGACTAAGGAGTGGGAAAGAGAGACATAATTCTCTCAGAGTTCGGAAGAGTATTAAGTCCGCTGAATTGGGATATATGGTATGTCATTGGGGTGAGCTCAATTTTTAACTGAATTTACATATTTGAGTTAGTGCACTTAAATCAATGTGTCTGTATAAGCTTCAAGCCAGTAAGCCAAAAACAAACTAGTTAAAATTAAGATAGTGACGGAAGAAATGAATTTAAACTGTGAGAAAACCATGATCTATGCTAGTGGGGAAGGAAATGATTGAAAACTAAGGTCAGAACATTTAATTAAACTTTTTTTTCTTTATTGATTTTTGAGAGAGAGGAAGATAGAGGGAGAGAGAGATAAAATCATCGATGAGAGAGAACATCAATTGTCCGCCTCCTGCATGCCCCCCACCAGGAATCAGGCCCATAACCTGGGCATGTGCCCTGACAGGGAATTGAACCAGTGACCTCTTGGTGCACGGGTCGATGCTCAACCACTGAGCCACACTGGCTGGGCAGAATATGTAATTAATTCAAACAAGACAGTATGGCTTTTGGATATAATAAGAGCATAATAGCAACTTCTGAGAGAGCTACCCTTAGTCAGTCATAATGAGCAAACACCTTAGTGCACATGTACAGTTGATCTGTTGTGCTCATGCAAAAAGAAGCGATGTCTGTCTGGAGAGTGGAAGCAGGGAGCTGGCCTGCCTTTTCCTCAATTTTGTCTTCAGTACCTAGGTCATTGCCTGACACATAGAAAGTGATCAATATGTATTTAGTGAAGGAATCTATGGAAGTGGCTAGGAAAGGGAAGGTCAACTCAGAGCCCCAGTAATGAGGAGGGAGAGCAGAATTTGTTCTGAATTTGCTGAGCAGGAGTGCTAATAGCTCTGGATGTGTGTGTGGTTGGTGCCCTTGGTCAGGTGTATATCAAGTAGATAAAGAAGTATCAATAGAGGAGATTATTGGTGTGTGTGTGTGTGTGTGTAAAATGTGTGATTTCCCATACAATATTAAGTTACAAGTAACTACATGACATATATTTTCAAACATATAGTATCATGGTCAGTATTATAAATAATGATGGTTTAGACCGCTATCTTTTGCTTTATATTCATATTCAGAGTGTTTTAAATGGACTCTGTCTGGGCTCTAAAGTAGTGAAAAAATTAAGAATGACCTCTAGAGATATAAAAGAGAGTACAGACTATGAATTCCATGAGTTCTGATGTTTTGAAGAGAACTATTTTTCCATTTGTCATTCTTAGATAGTAAAGGTGAGAAGTTGGCTAAGAGAAGCAACGGTGGATCTAGGACAGTAGGTCAGTAGGTGCTCTCTCAAGGCCATCTGGCATGTGGAGGGGTCTTGATTTTACTATAGTGAGTCATTATTTTTTTAAAAAGTGTTTTACAGATTTTGCTACTTTTTAGCTAATGCATTTTTGGTATTATTTACCTTCTCTGGGCCTTATGTTCTAGAAGATCTAGAATACTCTAGAGAAAGAAGATAAATAGCTATTCCGTGGCATTAAATGATATGCTTATAAAGTGCTTACTTGATTGTTTACTACAAGTAAGTACATAATTATGATCAAGGATTATCTTTTTTTCCCCTTAATAAATGGTAACAACAATTACTACTTGATATAAGGTACAGGGTGAAATCATAAGAAAGAAATTTACTAGAATATACTTAATGTATTTAATTTTATAGAGGGTACAAACAAAGCCATAAATAAATGATTATTTGATTTGATTAGGTTTTTTTTTGTCCTGTAATTTTTCTATAATGACTTATGGAGAGCAAGTAGAATTACCCCTATTTTACAGCCAAGCCGCTAGAGAAGTTCAGAAACATAACCAAATCAAAGCTAATAAGTACCCGAGTCAAACTTTGAAACACCTAGGTTTGTCTTAAAGAAAAACATCATTGTCTCTCAAGCTCATGTTGTATAAAATAGTGGTGATGCCGAAGGAGGAAGTTATCAGTGAATACTTATTAATGACATGAGAAGAGAAGACAGTGAAGGATTTAGTGACTGACTAGAGAGAGAAAAGTCGGAGATCCTGCTTGGGACATGGAACAGACACACTAAACTTGCTGGCTTTGACCAAAGACTCAGGCAACAAATGCAGATCATTTTTTTTTTTTTTTTTTTTTTACCATGTAGACTAGGAGCAGATTCATTCGACATCAATACTTGGAGGGAACACTAGAGAGACAAATGGAACTGGGTGGGAGGCAGAGTTGATTACCAACATGCCTCTGAGATCACTTTTTCCCTCTTCATGACAAAAATATTTACAAATGTGCCCTCAATGTTCCCTTATATAAAAAGGTCCTTTATGTAAAACTGGCTTTATTTCTAAGAGACTAAATGAAATTAGTATTGAAAATCTCATTCCATGGCCCTAAAGCATTTTGAGCTTTTTCTGGAGGCAGTCTTGCCCCAGTGTCTGTATGGAAATGAAAGTAAAGAATGAGAGTGAAACAAAATTATTCGGTGAGATTAGAGAGACATTTGAAAACTGAAATGAGTTTTTATAGGAGGTCAGGTACCCTCGCCACTTTGAGGCCATTCATTCTCTAAAGGACTGACTCAAAATTGAACCACAGTGTGTTTCAGCCTTTTGAAATAAAACAATATAATTAATAGAAGCTCCTAAAGAAATATAGAGAAACACTCATTTTTTTTTAATTTTTTTTATTATGTGAACAACTCTCAGAGCCAAGGTGGGAGTCATCATGACTCTATTAAGATGGTAGATATGAATATTTTTGGAAGTTCAGAACAACTATGACATTGTGCCCTAGCTAATTGTGCAGTTAATGAAAGCCATTGATCAAACCACTAGCAAACAGGAGTTGTTTTTCATTAAAAACAAAACAAAAATGCAAGATGCTTAAGAGAGGGGAAGGTCATCGTCCGTAAAGTTTCTGAACTAGGACAAATGAGATAGAGAACAACAGTCTGTGATCTGTTATGTTCCCTACAGAACAAAACAGCGTATCCTGGTTTCATAAAAATGGAGATAAAGAACGAGAGGCTAAAGTATATGATTCCTTTGAGAAACAGTGGTCATCTGGTACCTGTCAAGGTAGTTGGGAGATAAGAATAAATGGAACTGTGCTTAAGGGGTTCTGTTGCTTAAAGGCTTTCCAGAGTTTGTTTTATTTTTTTACTGCTGTGTAGCATCTCTCCAGTCTTTGTGGAAACTCTGAGGTGTCTCTGAGACTATACTTAAAATGTTAAGAGCCATTGTGGAGAGCCGTTGGGGCTGGAGGGACCGAGGGAATAGGATGAGAGTTAAGACAGGTATTTCTTCCCTTAAACTCTGCATCAGCTGCTTCAGCGATCTGTGTAGCTGCCAAGCAAATGAAAGGAAACAGAAAAAAGAGTAAGGAGCACACAGAGAAGAGAAAACAAACAAGCTAGGCAACATGGAAGTGTAGGATACTATATTCTATTAAAAACAATTATAAGACACAGATATGTTGGTCAAAAAATTAAAAACAAGTTTATTTCTTGGGTCCTCATCAGTGTGTGCCGTGACTTTTAGGCTGTGCGTCTTCCTGATTGAGATTTAGTGTGTATGTCACTTTCTCGGATATTTTTAAGAGTTTTTTGGGGTAGCAAGTACTGAACCATTTTCTGGCCATTGTAAGTCTCTAGACTGCATATCCATAGTATCACGTAAGTATAGCGCCTGGATCTCCTAGAATCTCTTTTACGGATTCTGTGTGCCCACCCCCATCTTCTGCACCCTCTGCCTTCTTCAGAAGACAGCTGTGGGCCACTGGAGTTGTTCTACCTTGAGGCCCAAGGAGCCGGGAAGTGCAAAGGAATATTTGCCCCCCCTAGGTCTGACTGGAGCAGATTATGAAAGCCAACTCCTTCCTCAAGGGAGGAAAAATGCTAATATAATTTAGACTTCAGAGGTCCTTGTGGGATCAGACTGAAATATAAATGTTTCTTGAAATAACTCTCTTGATTGACTTCTTCCCTTTCCTGCCTTGTTCCTGCACACCTGTAAGAGTTTCTCCTGGAGCATATATATCCTAGATATATCACTTGCATGTGAATCCTGATCTCAACATTTGCTTCTTGGGTAACCTGAAATAATACAATTTCTCCCTCCCCCCTCCTCCTCCTCATTCTTCTTCTTCACACACACACACACACACACACACACACACACACACGAGCATCTCAAAAAATATATTAAGTGTCTAGGGTTTATGCAAATGCATAGATCTTCTCCCCATTCCCAGATACCAGGGTATACTAGTATGGTGGGTGTGGCAGAAGATATAAATTAAAATGTTATGCATAGGAAATACTATGATTATGCAAGATGGTGATGAAATAAGAGCTTTAGCTGAGCAACTAAAAGATTATCAATTTCTTCTAGAACAAAATATACTTACAAGAGTTTTCCAGTAAAATGTGATTTATTGTTGAAAACTTCTCTAGACTCACAGGTTACACAGGTGTTTTTTTTTTATTACAATTATATAGAATATATGGGAAAATCTATTAAACTATATTAAACAATTTTAGTATGATTAATTATTAACATAATTCCCACAATTAAACCAAATGCTTTATAAAAAACAATGATGTCACCATTCTTGTTATTTGTAGATATAAAAACTACATCGTCCTCCTCATCCAGAAGTCACCCATATTCTAGTTGCAGTGAAGACGACTCTGCCCCAAGGGACAGGGAAGTCTGTGCTGAAAACAAAAGTGTCAGAAGCTCATCTTCTCAGGAGTTTAGTGAAAATGACGAGCTAGGAAACCCCCACTTTCCAGCTGAAGATTCCTTAAAAATTGAAATTGAAGATCAAAAAATAATAAAAGTAGATGTGGAGACCAAGCCTCTGCGAAGAGAGAAGAGCTTGGAAAATGTTCTTGAAGAAGAAACAAAGAAAGGAACCCAAGTGATCACAGAGGGCTTATCTGAGAAGTCCTGGGAGCAGGTTTCCAAGGAAGAGGAGGAAAATTATAGGAGTAAGCTTCGGAAAGAAAGCACTGCTAAGGTGAAGGACAAAAGGGCAGGTCTCTTTAGGGTGGAGAAAGGTGGTAAGTATGGCCATTGAGTTGGCTTGCCATTGTCCCCATGCATGGAAGTGGATTTGGGTCATTGCATTCTGCCAAAGCTTGGGAAAAACTATTGTGATAATGACAGAGATTCAATTTTGTCCTATTTCTTTCCTTGTCATGTAACATCTGTGTATTTTCAGCTTGCTGTTTTCCTTCTATTGCATTTTTAAAATTACTTGGTAATTCTCATATGGCCTGTTTCCTATTTTCTGTACTTTTCTTCCTATGGTAATTCTATCTCAAGAATTAAATAAAACACAATATGACTCTTGAAGGCAAGGGTGTGTGTGGCTTTTTAGAGGTTAATACCAGCAATGCTATTTGTCTTTGGCCATCTATGCACTTATATACATCCATAGCTAACATTGATAGGTGCTTACCATGTGTTAGTTCTAAGTACTTACATATATTAACTCATTTAATCCTCACAACAGCTCAGTGTCGCCATGAGTTAGGTTGTATTACCATCTCTTTCTTTGAACATGACAAAGTCATGGCTCAGAGAGGCTAAGTAAATTGCTAAGGATTATTTTGGCTAATAAACATTCTTAGGATTTTACTTTATGCAGAGTATTTCCAGTTTCTAAAAATTTACTATTATAGCTGTGCAGCAAGACTTTTTAGATTTAGATAAAAATGTGAAAATCTCATAGAAAACTCCAAACTTCACCTCGAGTTCTTCTCTGAAGCTTAGTAACTTCCCGACCCAGGGGTTCCTGGGTGTGTAGGGCAGTTCCATTTGACAGGAAAAAGGGTGGGAATCTCAGAATAATCAAGTACCAGTACCTTCGGCACATGAGAGGTCTGATACTTTTCTCAACTTTAGGAGGACAGTTAGAAAATGAGCTGTGTCCCGTGAACGGCCTGAGGGTGCCTGCCAGACATTTGGCTCTCATACCGCAAGCACCCTGCTCCCTTTCTCTCACATCTCCATCCCTGTCCTGCTCCTGTTCATCTGTCTCCCCTGCCAACATGGTGGGCATTCTTCTTGATTCCAGGATAAAATTTGTTTTCACATGTAAATATTACTAAAAGCCATCTGTGTTTTAAAAGTTCTGAATTCTTTTAAAGTTTCCTTTAGAACCTTAAAAGCTATTATTAAACCACTGGGACCTACCTCTAGGCATTGAGGATGCTGAATAGTTATTTCTCCATTCAACCATTATTATTAACCTTCTGTTACATCCAGGGCGCCATGGTCAATAAGAAATGTGTAAGAGAGGATTCCTCCCATAAACGGTTGAAAGGAAGGCTTGGCACACCAATCCTGGGCAAAGTTCAGTAGCCGTATGTAAAACCAGAGAAGGCCCAAATGCTGTGGGATTTCAAAGGGAGAGACGTCCCATTTGGTTACGGACACCTTGAAAGTTTTCACGAAGGACTTGTTGAGGAAGCCCGTAAAGATTAAATAAGCTTTTGAAGGTGGAATAGAAGGGGTAAATGCATTCCAGATAGTGGGATATAGCAAAAGGTGTAAACTTCAAATAAGTTAAAAAATAATTAGAATGAAATCTCACAGCCTTCAGCCCACGAGCCAGACCTGGCCTGCTACCTTTCTGTTTGTATTGCCTGAGGTATACATCAAGGGTTGGGGGAAACCCAAAGAAGAAGAATATATTGTAATGTGAAAATTATATTAAATTCAAATTTCAGTGTAAGAAAATAAGTTTTATTGGAAAAGAGGCATGTCCATGCATTTACGTGTTCTCCAGGGCAGCTTTGCATGACAAGGGCAGAGGGAAATAGTCGCAACACGGACCTTATGACCCACAGCCCTAAAAATTCACTCTCTGGCCCTTCACAGAAAAAGTTTACTGACCTGTGCCCTAGAATTATGACACAAATATCCCCAACATTTTCAAAAGGATTTTGTCATATAGGATTCTTGTTAAAATATATTTAAAACTCAGAAAATAATTCAAATCTTTGATCTTGGTCTTCATTGTTCAATTCAGGTGCATATAATATATAATATGGAAAATGTGTCCAATTTGGCAAGCTGCTGATCAAAACAGGTAGAGACGTTAAAATTCAGTAGTAACATTGACATAATCATTATTTCATTTTTTTTTCTTTATTGATTTCAGAGAGAGAGGAAAGGAGAGGGAGAGAGAGAGATAGAAACATCGATGAGAGAGAACACCAATTGGCCACCTCTTGCATGTCCCTAAATGGGGACGGGGCCCACAACCTGGGCATGTGCCCTTACCAGGAATCATACTAATGACCTCTTGGTGTATGGGTCGATGCTCAACCACTGAGCCACGCTGGCCAGGCAATTATTATTTCTTTATTTCTTCTTCAGATAACTGGATTGTTTACCTGGATTTATATAAGTAGACACCTTTTCTGTGAAGTAAGATGCACACATGTATTTTGGCAATGACTGGAAGAGCAGAAACATTGATAGGATTATGTCACTTGGAAGAGAGCGGTTTTCTTTTTCTCTGGATTTGTGAAGTGGACCTGTGTACATTTATTATTTTTCTCAAATATTATGAGAACTCTGTTCTTGACTTGATAATATCTATAAGTTAAAAACATTTTTATTATCTTTTTATTAAGGTAGATTCAAGACTAGATTGTAAGTTTTGTGACTATATTTTTTAAGCTCTAATATATGTACTGAGTTGCTTTATCAGTATTTATTTTTCATGAACAGCTTATGAAATAACATTTAGAAAATAGAGAAAAATCGTTTTAAAAAGAAAACCCATAAACTTATCACACATAAAATCATTTTCAATATTTGGTCAGGCTTTTTATTTCTAAACTTAGAGTTTACAAAGTTATGTTGTCATATTTTTACAAAATATATACTGCTTTTTATTCTTTATACCCCTTAGCATTTTTATGTTTTTTTATGTAATCTTTATGAATGTGTTTAAAGTCTATTTATTATTATATTCTGTTTTTTCTCATAATTTAATAATTTCCCTTTTATTGGATATTTATTTATATTTTTTCTATTTTCACATTGTCAATAATATTCTAGTATCTTATTACTTAAGGTAATTTCAAATTTGTAATTATTTCCTTAGGCTAATAAGTTACAAGAATTATAATTTCTGAATCTAAGGTTATAAAAATTTTAAGGTTTTTGCTGAAAAAAATGTTTTTCTTACAAAAGATTGGTTGAAAAGCTTAAACAGCCCTGGCCAGTTTGGCTCAGCAGTTAGAGCCTCGGCCTGCGGTCCACAGAGACCCGGGTTCGGTTCCCGCTAGGGGCACGTACCTCAGTTGCAGTTTGTCCCTGGCCCTGCTTGGGTTGTGTGGGTGGCAACCACTCGATGTGTCCCTTTCACGTTGATGTCTCTCTCTCTCTCTCCCTCCTACTCTATCTGAACAAAAAATGGAAAAATGTCCTCAGGTGGGGATAAAAAAATAAAAATAGAAAAAGAAAAGCTTAAACAATACAGAACAGTTGAGAATAAAATGAAAGCTAAAGTCTTCCTTGCCCAACCTCTACTTTTTTCCAAGATAGAGAGGTAATGGTAGGTAACAGATTCTATAAAGGATTCCAGAAAAATTTCTTTATATATATATATTATATATATATATATATATAATATATATATATATTCATATTATATATACACATATCTTGTTTTTCTGTACAGATGAAAACATGATACATTTTGTTTTACAGCTTGCTTTTTTCACTTAAACGGTTTCTGGGGTATTTTTTCATATCAGCACATATAACTGTACTTGATTCTTATTTACTAAACATATTAGTTCATTGTATTGCCTTTATTCTATAACTTTGAAAATTTTCTTAAAAATATTTTGCGTTCTGTGCAAGAACTGATATATTTGTTGTATGGTCCCCCTTCCACAAAAAAAACACATTTTTGTCTTATGAAAACCCGGAGGCACATATTATAAAGTACAGTAGAAAATAAAACATTAATAGGTAAGATAAAACAAAGACCATATAAGATATTCAGAATGATGTAGAAGGATTAATACTATCAAAATCTAAGGATATGAGCTAAGAGCTAGAAATATCCCAAGTGTTGATCAGTAGATGAGTGCATAAAAAAGCTGTGGTACATTTACACAATGGAATACTATGCAGTTGTAAGAAAGAAAGATCATGGAGGGACCTGGAGAGCATTATGCTAAGTGAAATGAGCCAGTCAGAGAAAGACAAGTACCACATGCTCTCACTTATTTGTGGAATATAATGAACAAAATAAGCTGATGAACAAAATAAATCCAGAGGCATAGAAGTAGGGAACAGAGTACAAACCTCAGAAGGAACGGGGATGGGGGAAAGGAAGAGATAAACCAAAAATCTTATATGCCTATATACATAACCAATGGACACAGACAACAGTGCAATGAAGGTGGTAGGGAGGTAGGGGCTGGAGAAGGGAGGAGGATGTCAATGGGGGAAAAAAGAAGATACATCTGTAATACTTTCAGCAATAAACATAATTTTTTAAAAAAATTTAAGAATTTATAGATTTTTACAGTTGGATTCTAAAGTTTTAAACATATACTCAAGGGAATGATGCAATAAATAAGTAAATATTTGAGATAATAGAACAAAAGAATTCATAAATATTCTCAAAGACTATTATGTAAATAAACATTTCTAAGAAAATTTTAGATAAAATCAACCAAGTTGTTATTGCATCATTTGTTATATTGATATTGAGGCCAAGCAAAGAGATAATGGCTAGGCCCTGGCCAGTTTGGCTCAGCGGTTAGAGCGTCGGCCTGCGGTCCGGAGAGACCCGGGTTCGGTTCCCGCTAAGGGCACCTACTTCGGTTGCAGTTTGTCCCCGGCCCTGGCTGGTCATGCGGGTGGCAGCCACTCAATGTGCCCTTCACGTCGATGTTTCTCTCTCTCTCTCCCTTCCTCCCTCTCCCTCCCACTCTATCTGTACAAAAAATGGAAGAATATCCTCGGGTGAGGATAAAAAAAAAAAAAAGAGATAATGGCTAGTTATTCTTTCTTGACTCTTCAG